ACATGAACCTCACTTGAAGGTTCAATATTGAACATGATTGAACTGAACCTGAACCTGAACTTGACCAAAGTTCGGTTCATAGGAACACTATTAACCTTATATTTTTATTACAGTATTAGCTAATTTCTAATTTTAAAGGACTATCTACTTTCTTTTTACCTAATACAGTAATACTAAAATTAATAATAATAAATAAATCTTTTAAGAATACATTTATTTCTCACCCAGGGTGAGATTTGATATTACTCACCCCTCTAAGATTATCCAATAAATGTGCAAGATCAGGTGTAACGTGTGTAACATGTAAATCATCTTCGTGTAACAAAAACAAAGACAATTTTTTAAAAAATCGCCAATGTTTCACCATTTTGCTTATGAAACCACTCTTCGGGTTCTAATAAAAAAGATTCCTTACATAATTTTACATATAATGCACTCAACCCTAACCTGCTAACGTCTTAAGTTCGATCTTATTTAAAAAAAATGATGAGGGGGGGGGTGAATAATTCACCCGGGTGGTGAATAAATTATTTAAAACTTTTTAAATTATTATATATTAATTACTAAAAATATTTACACAAAATAAAATACTTTTTAAGATCCGAATATTACTTATTATCTCTACTAATTACAGTACTAATTTTATAATCTATCCCCAAATGCAATACCCGGTCCTTCAAGGTTGCTAGTAGATTTTAAAAATGAAGTTCTTTGAACGGGACCCGGAGCATTGTAAGCAGTAACCCGACTCTACCTGTAACTAGTCCTGTAACTAGTCCTGTAACTATGGTGATAACGATTATCACGTGTCTAATAATTTGTAATACAGTCACACCTCCCTAAGTGCATCCCGTCGGGACCATAGTGAAAAAAATTAAAATTTTGCACTTAGAGGGTGTTTGCATTTATAGAGAGTAAAATATATAGGACTCTTATAAGTTGGGGCCCAACATGATTGTGCATTTAGAGAGGTTTTACATAGTACTTGCACTTAGGGGGCGTGCACTTAGGGGGGTGCGACTGTAATTTGTAATGTTTATGGTCGCTTGATAATTTGATTTTCTTCTTGTGCACACACATTAATAGTTTCCTATATTAAATTATAGAGTTTTAATGATTTGTATAGTAAAAAGGCTTGTTTTTAAACTTTACTGCTTAACCAACATAAAAGCTTTTTTTAAAATATCAAATATCAATCAGAATCAAATGATTTTAATATCATACGATTTATCTAATTGAGATGATATCAAAAATATTCAAATCCGGTTGATTTTTCAAAATACGTCACAATACCCATACCTATCAACCTTAAAAGCCTAGATCGATATTCACTTTGTACAACTGTTACAGTGCTTAATAAAAATTTTGAACAATATATTCACAAACGATTATTTCTGATATGGGATTTCGCATACTCAAAACGAGAAACTATCGAACGATTTTTTAAGTCCCCCTGAAATTCATGATTTTTAATTCGTTAAAAACTTGGAACTATGAATTGTTGGAATCTGGATTCTGATAAAATAGGCAAGAACGGATTAGGAACCATAAAAAACTAGCGTTAGTGTATACCGATAAAAATGTATAAATCTTATTAAGATCGATTAAAAAAAATTTTTTTTTCCAATAGTAAGTCGGGGAAGAAAATCATAACTAAAAACTTTTATGAATATTTGAGGCTGTCATCAATGCTATGCATGGAATGGATAATATTAATAAGGTAAAAATGATCAACTTCAAACCTTATTGTTGAAAAGCGCGAGGGAAAGGGAAAGGACTATTCCCATGAATTGTCAGACGAATTGTCAGACGAATTGTCAGACGCGTTGAAATGACTCGGGTAATTTTAATAATAATAAGCAATTTTAATTGATTACAACAGTTGCAGGATTCACAAGAAATACATGAAATAATTATACTAAATTTAGTACATGCTGTTTGACATTACGATAGTCGGCCAGGGTAACAACTTTTTACCAACCCAACCACAACATGGGGCAAAAAAGAACCCGAAACAGTGATAAATTAATAAGTTTTAGGCAAATTAATTAGCAATATAGTTAAAACGATTTCTCATTAATGATACGCCAATATATTTTAAAAGAGGTTTCACAAATCTTTAAAAAGAAGAATTTGATCCAAACAAGCCTGGGAAAATTTTTTTATTTTTGGGTTATTCCCAAATTGGAATTTATGATACTAAGGTTTTTAATTAAATGTTGTACACATTTTTTTGGTTAACAAGTAGTAACATTCTCCGGAGCTGACAGATTATTACTCGTATGCATTGCCATGCAAATTATGCTATATTATCCTGCATCATATAAAATAGAGGGGTTTTGACACCCAGCCATCAAAACAATATCGATATAAATTCTTCTATCACTTGCAAGAATAAACAAACAATTTTACTACACCAAAAAAAAAAAAATACAAAAAAAAACAATGACTTCTAACGCTGTTGTTGATAATATTTTGTCTCGTGACGCTTACCTCGCAGCCTACAAATCTAAGAATGAAGATTTCATCCATTATCGAGAACACGTTCTTTCAGAACTTATACGTCCATATAAACGCCGTTTATTTCCTACTCAACTTTCCGCTCTTCGTGAACGGTTTGAAGTTTCCCTTCAAGAACTTGTTGATGCTACACCATATGATACTGAAGTTTTAGAACGCGACTTTGATGAACATTCCGCGCTCACTCTTGAAGAGCAACGAGATTTGGTACAACGAGCTCATTTTGAAAACGCATTTGAAAAATTAAGGGAAAACGTTCAATGGGTAGTGAAAAGTACTAAATATTTGCCAGCTGTTGCTAATATGTAAAAAATTAGATGTTTTTTTTATTTCTTTATTTTTTTCCTTCAAAATTAAAATAGACTTCAAACAATCTCATTAAAAAATTCATTTGCAAAACGATCCTTTATCTTATAGTGCTTTATTATATCTTATCTGTTATGTAAATATACATATTTTTTTTTCTTTTTTCTTTTTTTTTTTACATTTAAGATTTTCGCTTGTTCGTTCTTTCATTACATTTTTGTTACATTTTTGTTTAACATTAATCGTCACCTATCTCACCAATGCGTAGTAGATTTACCAATTCATTTTTCGTTTTTTGGAAAATAAAATTGTGATTGGTTAAAAATTATAATTAATAATACAGTAATCGTGTAACCACGCTCTTTGCCGTCAACTTTTTATGTCTGGATACATACCTAAAATGCATATGTACACATTTACATGCACGTGTAACTCTTGCACAACTTTTTGTTATGACTCATACTAATGTAACAATATCAAAGGGAGTGGGGAAAAACAAACAACGGAAAATTTTCCATAAAAAAAAAAATTACCACGTAATAATTGCATTTTTCTTTAACGCCCACGCCTATTTAAAACGTATAGGTTAAAATTTTTTTTTTTTTTTTATAAGTTTAGAACTTACTAATTTCCTTAAAATCATGTTGATTTACTTACGCCAAAATTTTTGTAACTCAATTACTCATTTCAAATTAATCAGACCGTTAAAATTTATAAGAATGTCATCTACTGATAAATCAGGTGAATCATTATCAGTTTTAAAAGAAGAAAAAAAAATTGAAGAGAATGATGATGAAACACGATCTGAATCAAAGCCACCATGGGCTGAAGCACATAGAATTGCTGTTCAGGTAATGATGGATTGATATATTTATATGTAAATTTATATATAATCCTAATTTGAACATTCCGAGTTTTATTAGAACAATCAAACCACCTATACAGATCCTGAAACTTCTTACATAGTAATGACTGAACTATTTCATAAACAAAGAGGCTATTGTTGCGGAAATAATTGTAGGCACTGCCCTTATGGTCATGTAAATGTAAAAAAAAAAGCCATGGAAAAGTAAAATTAATGAATTTAACGAAAAGTTGTAAAAAAAAAAAAAAAAAAATTTTTTTTTCCTCAAGAATTTTCGATTAAACAAAATCTTGTTAAGTGTACAAGTATAACAGATAAGGATATAAAAATACAAGAAATACAAGATATGCTAGCATTTTATGCAAAATAACCGAAAATACAAGTTGTAATCCTGATTAAAAACAATCTACAATGTATTAATCAAATAACAATAAAAAAAAAAAAGAAGCTCATTATACCAAAAATTCACATTTAATATAACAACTTTTGCTTGAAAAAGAACGAGAAAGTCAGAATATATCAGGTACACATTGCATATATCATCAATTGTACTACTTAAACCACATGTGAAGCGAAAGTTGCAAGTGAAACAAGAAGAAAAAAAAAACAAGGAGCATCAAAAAAATATTTCGTTTTCCTGATAAAGTGCGCAACGTTAGCTTATTTTAACACACATTGGCTAAAATACGGACAAAAAAAAAAAAAAAAAAAAAAAAAAAACTACATATATTTATATATTTAAGGGTACACGCAGAAATTTCTCGTGACATCATAAAACTAATACAATCGATCACTTTTTTTAATTAAAAGTGACGTGTTTGGCAACATTGTGTTGGTGATAAGCTAAACAATTTTTACTATTTTCACTCTTAATAGCTGCCCATTTTTTTTTGGCTCGATCAATCTCACCGTTAGATAAAATATTATTTGTTCCAGTAATAGAAACTCCGGTAAGAGCACGAACCAAATTGATGAACAAACGCTTTTCCTCTTCAGTAATAGCCCATTTGTTACTATCAGCATCTTTGTCATAAGGTTTTTGCCAGCCTAATTGACGTAGAAAATTTTCTTCTCGTTCAAGAGAGGCTGAGTTTGGAGATGAAGACAATAGTTCATCAACCGGGCAAGATTCAACCGTGGTTACATCGGTTGTAACTTGAGGTTTGTCAGAATTGTCTTTTCCTCCTTCTATATTATTTTCACTTTCTTCATCCACCTCTTCTTCAATATGATCTCGATCATTTTGTAAGTAATCATCTCTACGATCAACTGTGTGTCTTTCATCATCATCAGACATCATCTTGAAATGTCCCATCTTTCCCATTGTATTATTACTCCAATTGAATTTGGAGCTTCCACCGATACTCAATTTTCTGCCAGTTAATGTTTGGCCATTACCAATACGTGTTGTCTTTTTTACTCCACTTGGAGTTGAAATTGTTACCACGCGTGACCCTTGATTATGAACACCATTAACATTTTTGGCGGCTACTGTTTCTTTCAAATTAAGTCTAAAGTGTTGTGCCTGACCTAGCGTTCGATTACCAGTAATACCGGTTCCAATTCCAAGGCCAGGACTGATTGGTCCTCTTGCAGCGCTATCCATTGACAAAGATCGACTAGTCTTACGTTTTACAGAACTCTTGATAGCTCGTTTCCCATCCAACTTTCCGCTTTCAACTTTAGGCACCAACGACATTCTCCTTTCCAACTCGGGTTCATCATCAATGGTTGGATTATGTATCGTATCTTCGGCTATTGGAGTTGAAGTTGGAGAAAGCAATTTTGATTTTGTATCAGAATTTTCTAAATTGTTAAATATAAAATGACATTATAAATCAATATATATATATATATATATATATATATTATTAATTTATTTGAAATAATTACGATTAACACTAAAAGAAACTACTTACTCCACATATTATCAACATTGCTTGCCGGAAGATCGACTGACAAAGGAAATTGTTTCTTTTTCGCCAATGTGGGCTACATATTAATAAATTGAAATAATAATAATTATTATAATTATTATAATTTGTTGTTAGTTAAAAATTTGACATACAACAATAATAATAATAATAATAATAATAATAATATAATAAGAAATATCAACTTACAAAATTTCGATCAAAGCTTGTTGGAGAAGACGAAATAGTAGATCCAGCTTGAGATACTGAGCGTGATCGCCCGTGAACTCCTTTCGTCACCGTCTACATATGTATAAATAATTATTATTTTTATTTTTTAAAAAAAACGACATTAATTTTCATTATATATTAGTTACCTCAATTCCATCCATCTCTCCGGTGGTCGTTGAACGTGAACTTGCTTTTGGTCGGATAGGCGTCAATGGCAAAGTGCCAATAGTCGATGTTCGTGAAAAGCTAGTGTTAGAAGAGTTGCCATCTGATGAAATAATTTTACACAATTTTTCACAATTTATGTGGAAAGCAAAAATCAAAAAATATGAGATGTGGACCGATTCTTAAGTCATTCCAAAAAAGGAAAGCCTGATTCACAACCTAAAAAAATTTTTTTTTTGAAACTAGTTCAACCACTAACAAAATTCTTTCCTATTTTTTAAATTAATTGGAATATTTGTATTTCTCACCTTTCTCCTGGCCATCCTTAACTTGCTTAATACCACCAAGCCCATCTTTCTTTAATGTTCCTAATCCCTTACTTTCTTCTTTCACTGAAGGACATTCTGTAGTTGATGCATATGCTGGACTCAACACAGTTGAAGGTCCTCCTTTATTATTATTATTTAAGTTTATTAACCAACTTGGAGCGAAGATATACGAAGATGCGGAGGTCGCCCTCCTTGGTCGGGATGTTGTAGACGTCAAAGGTTTAGAATTTGTATTCATTTGTGTAGTACCGTTTGTTGTTGTCGTGAGCTTTGGATTTGTTGGATTAGAAGGCATGGCGTATTGCAGAGTTGTGTGGGGAGGCATGGTATGGTTTAGAGTACTTGGAGACTCTTACTTTTTATTAATATTATTATTATATTATTTTTTTTTTTCCGCCACAAACTACCTCTCTGCCTGATGTGGGATCCGACGTTGGCAAAAGTTCAAAGAACTTAAAAGTACGGTCATAAAAAAGACCAACTAAACCGGGTCCACACTTACAGGTCGTCTCACTTTCTTTATGTACTCTCGTCTAAATTTTTGAAATTGTCAAGACGATGTATTTCACCTCAACGCCCCGATCTCCTCCCTCAAAAAAAAAAAAAATTTTTCCTATGACAAAAGAAAAAAAAAAAAAAAAAATCTCTACACAAACTGTGAAACTGTGAAATGTTTGAAATAAAATAGACAACCACCCAATCTCAAGGAGTATAAAGTTCTAATGTATATAAAGGGAGATACACAAGTTTGCTGAGTATTTATTAGTAATGGAGTTTACGTACTATATTTGACGTAATGTTTCGTTAGTTTTTTTTTTTTGAAAAGTGTTAAACTGAATACAATGCTAAAATACAGAAGAGAATAAACATGCAACTTTGATTTTTAATGAAATCAGGTGGGTGTAATCAATGCTTAATAATTTCAACTTAAAGAATATGATGTTGAAAGAGACAGTTTTTCTATTTGTCTTGATATATGAAACGAATATTTTGAAACGAATATTATTTTTCTCAAAAAGAAAATATATGAAAGTAAAAAGAAGAATAATTCCCAGAAAAAAAAATGTTGGGAGTAAGAAAAAAGTTTACAACGTATAAAGGGAACGGAGAAGAAAAAAAAAAAAAAAGCAAAAAAAAAAAACGGAGGGGACAAAAAAAAAAAACCGACATTAAATTAACATCCGTCGGAATCGGTTTTTTTGCACTAATAGATTTGTGGGGGCTGCATTCTGTTTATTCGGTTGCAGCAATGCCACACCTGCAAATTCTATATGCGGGTTAATGTGAACCTCAAGATTTTCACCAAAAATACCGGTATTTAGAAAACATTTTCAAAGCCCGCCAATTTTAGTATCTCATTTATATACTGCGACAAAAATCATACAACGCCACTACAGAGAGAAAAATCAGGGTTTAGAAATTTGGTAACCAGATTAATGACCCTATAACGTATAATGTATGATTTGTATGATTTGTATGATTTATTAAATCTTTTTAAAGCTAACTTTTTGAGTCTATCAAGAAAAGGATTGTATACAATTTTATATACACGTGTCGTAATAGGAAAGATTGAAAATACGTTGTCGATCGATAATATTTGACACAAATAAAACAAATAATTCTCACTGCGCATAACTTAAATTTGCTTAACGTTAAGAATTTTTAAGAATTGGGTGGGTTTTTTTATTTATAAAAAAAATTTTATAACTTGTTTTTTCGATATCAAGAATTGGTTGTATAACGATAATTTTTGAAAATAAAATTAAAAGCCGGATTACCAGTTATTTCACATTACGTGAAGCAAAAAATTTAACTTGGTGTTGTCTAATTTTGGACTAATCTCTTAGATTCTTACTGTATAACTGATAATAAATTTGTTGCGTACGTACGTACGTATAATTACAGAATTAGGGGGGTTTCAAGATTAATAACAAATAAGTGGCGCATTTCGAAAATAAGTACGTAGAATTTTTTCAATACGTAGCATTTTTTACTATAAATCGGAAAAATAAAATAAGATTCTGATTCTTAATTTTGAAACCGCTCATTAGATTTGCTTTTATTTTTAAGATATTTTAAGAGCACAATATATAATAGATATTACAAAAGATTACAATTAGATTTATTTTATTGTATCGACAATATGTACTGTTGGCTAATAGTGAAACACGATCAGGAACCAGTGATTCGAGTAATTCTCGAGTTGCGGATTAATTCGAATTAGAGTTTGGAACCGGTTTATTTTTCATATGTTAATAAAACTGCCTTAATACCGTAAACTGCCGATACAAGACCTGGATCTGTTATGTTTCCCGTGGGTTTCTTGTATGGATGTGGGTCTGATAATCAGGGTTTATTCTATTTTATAGTTTTCTCTTACTGTACTCCGGGTTTTTTACATTTTACCCAAACTTTATCCCATGTTATAGACCCGAGTTATAGTACATAGGGGTTTGTTATCTGGGGGGATTTTGTATCCGGCAGTTTACAGGTATATGAAAAATAAAACTGGTTCCAAACTCTAAATTTCATGATTCGAGTTGACGTTATCAGGAACTATCCAATTTGAATTTTATTTAAAAAAAATAATATTGGTATGGTTGGCGCCAAGAAAATGGCCACCCACCATACTAAAAATTGTAATTTAATCACTAAATACTATCGAAAAGATGAACGTAAAATACTTCAAAATGTGTTAAGGGTTCTTGCGAAGGATCTAAGAGCGGAAAGGTGAATTAACATATTGTTTTTATTGCTTAACGAGCTAATTATTTTATTATAATAAAAAGATCAAATCAAATTATAGGTAATAAATTTCATCATTTACAGATAACGATAATAATTATCAAATTATCAAACTTATAGACCTAAGCCTAAGCCAAATCCATTCTATAAGGCTTTGAAAGAAAGTGAACATTTTCAACGTGAAAAACAGGCTTATAGCATTTTATTAAATTATATCACTAAAAGTTTATATTATTATTTTATTTATTTATTAAAGTTTTACGAAAAATTACATATTTTTGATATTATACATTATTAAACTTGTACATTTTTAAATTCTACCTACTACGGTATTTTTTTCTATATACACTTTTTTTTTTTGCTAGTTTACTTGTCCTAGTCACCACGTAGTGTGTAACCTAAGACTAGGTTTATAACAGCCCGAAGTTGTATCCCATAAAGGGGCGTAAGCCTAGAGTTAAGCCCGAGTGGATATTATACAAGTCGACGTTAAGTATGTAGAACATCATACAAAGGTCCGGAAAGCTTTGGAAGTCGTTCCCGCCTTGGGGGCGCGATGAGAATCCACTGTGTGTGAAGAAAAAAAAAAAAATTAAAAAAAGAAAAACTTCGATCTAAAATTTAACTGAAGTCAGTGTGGTAGAGGTTGGATCCTTTAAATATACATCATGGCTATTCAGTAAATATTCACGGGTTTTGATGTTTACGAATAGCATTGACCGAATATCCAGATTTTGAATGGATATCCATCTATTATTGTAACCATGAATATTCACGCGCAAATATTCATGAATATAAACGAATCAATTATATCAATTACAAACCCTTGACTATCCATGAATTTTGTGTAACCGAATGTTGAATATCTATTTCCAACCGTGAATATTCATGGATCCGACCTCTACAGTGTGGTATTCACGAGAAGTATACCTTTTAACTTGTTCGCTTTCTAATGCTTTCCCTCTTTCCAAGATCATTATCTTTAAAGGTTAAGGTGGAGTTTTCGCAATTTCTTTTCCACCTTCTAAACTAAAATTATTGTGTTCTAGGTTTAATTCTTTCCGATCGTAATCATATTACTCCCGCAGCATGAACCCTGCGAATCAAGCAAAAGTTCTCGTGCCTTTGTGGGTTCGACCATAGATAACGGATAAATACATAAAAGACTGAAATACGCATATTTTTGATCATGTTTTTGCGCGTGTGAAAATTTTTGATTATCTAATTGCTGGATTGAATGTCAAGTTTCGTGGTCTAGACTGATTGGAGATAATTAACGCAGTAAAATCACATCATGTGTATCATGTGTCCATTTTTTGCCAAGCTAGGGTAGAGATGTGACTTAATATTAACAGTTTTTGGCCAGCATTACGGTTAATTATTTCCGAAAATTGTTAGGATCAGCAAATGGTTCGCTAGGGTCCTAGACCTAGACACAGCCAGCATTAACCTTATCGTTATCGATCAGAATAGCCAGCTTGGAATACGTGTATGTCATGTATTACTTTCTGCCTAAAAAATAAATACGCGTCTAATAATTTTTGTAACATAATTATTCTATGCGCAGAAAATGTCTTCAAAAAAGACGTTTTCTTCCTCTACGCATCAGAAATCAGAGCATCCACGTAGAGTTTTTGTCAAAGCAGAATCAAAACGCTTGTGGCGAGAGAAATTTAAACAACAATGTTTACGACGGGTTAAAGAGAGTCGTGCTTTTGCTTTTAACGATCGGAGACTAGGATTTTGGAAATTTTCAAATCAGAATGATACAGACGACGAAGAAGAAGTATTATCAAAGTTTTCAAAATATTTCAGTTTAGCAATCGTTTTTTAAAGTAACGTTATATTTAATTTATTAAAGGTTGCGCATCAATGGTTTGTAAAAAAAATTCTAGAAGAATGGAAACTTTTTTGGAAAGACGACAATCTTGATGCCGTTGAAGATATGATAGATGATGAATTTTTACAAGAAATCATGCAAGGTACTTACCGTGATGATATTTCAGAGTATTATAAGTTTCTATATACTTAGATATTTAATTTTTAGAATCGACGTTAGATGAATATGAAGCCGAACTCGCAATTCAGTGCGAAGAATATATACCATCATACGCAGATGATGGTCAAAAAGGCCAAATAGATATAATGGACCTGGATGAAAATATACCGGCTTTGCTGTAGCCGGCATATAGTTCTTATTTTGTTTCTTTTTTTTTTTTTTCTCTAAATAAAATTGGGCACAGTTGTGAGTGAATAAACATGCGTTAGTTGTAAATATGCGCATGAAGTTTAGTTGAAATCAAATTATACATGTTAGGAATGGATTTGTCTAGAAAATAATAGGCAAATAAGCTTGCCTAGACATATTTAACTTTGGAACGGGTTGTGGCAATAATTATGAAAAGTTTTTTTTTCTGTAGTTATTTTGGGCTGTTAATTACCAAAAATTTAGTTTACATTTTATAAATAGGTTTATGTTAATAAAATAATTTGGCTTTTATTTGTATTTTTTGTATAAATTAAATTTCTTTACGTATAACCTTGTGAAGCGTATTGATTACTATATATTTAACTAAATTTTATAAATTTCTTTATTTTAATTTTGCAAATTTATTGTATAAGATCAAAGTAAAATATTGAATTTGGTTAAGTGGATGTTAATAAAACTGCTATAAGTATTGCTATAAGTATTGTTTTTAATTGATTGTTTAATTTTTTAAGAAAATTTAGTAATTTTTTAACTAAATTTAATAAATTTTTCTATTTTGAATTTACTGTTTAGTGCACTATTCACATTACAGCATTATGCCCCCTCTAATATCTCAAAATTTTACTAGGGTAACCTCCGTTGTGTAACTAACAAAAAATGTTCCTCTCGCAAGTTACTCTAACCATAAAGTTTATCTTTGTCTCAATATTTTATTTGTTTGGCTATTAACGCATAAGTGGGCACCAAGTGCATGGGTGCACTGTTTAGCTTTTTCCCTTATTATTATTATTTTTTTTGATAGTGCATTGGTTTATTTTATTTGCGAATTTAGAATTATGCATATTGCATCAACTATAAATGTTCCCAATAAATGAACTATCCACGAATAAAATAGTAAGCATCAAGAGGTCGATCGAATCCTCATGAATAGTTATTCGCTGTAGGCATGTATCATTTGCAAGGGTATTTAATATACTCCGTTTGCGTACTAAATAGGCTATTTAATGTAACAAGCCAATTTAGTGATTGAATAGGAGATTTTCATATATATTAATATATATATAAGATTATCATTTGTATCTTTTTTTATCAAAACAAAGTTATGGGAATGGCGCTCCGTTAGGGTGGGGCCTCAACTAATAAAATCAAACATAGTCGGGGTAATATATGAAGATCATTAATTTCGGATTTATT